ATTATTGAGAAACACTGGTTTATAATGTTAAGTGACAGGTGTACATCATTATAACTCAACCTGCGTGGTCACCACGTCATGACCATTACCAAAGGGTTAGTTCCCATCCAACTCTGTCCATCTGTCCCTTTCCTTTTCCACCCACAACCTCAGCCCCTTCCCTTCTGGGACCACCAGACTGCCCTGTATCAGAGAGTTTTGTTTTGCTTTGTTTATGTTCAACATATGATTGAAATCATGCAGTATTTGTCTTACTTTCTCTGATTTATTTTCCTTACCATAATAAGCTAAAGTCCAACCATGTGTTCTCAGCTTGCAAAACTTCATCTTTATTGTAGCAGTCATGTTTCATTGTATATTTCTCTCATATACATAATGTATATTGCGTCTTCTTTATGCACACATCTGCTGATGGAAAAATTAGGTTGTTTGACCACTTGGCTAGTATATATCATGCTGCAATGAATGAATATCTTTTATAGCTAAGTCCTTTAAAAATATATATAAATACCCAATGGTGGAGTAGCTGTATTCTATAGTATTTCTAGTCCATATAAATATCTTTTTTTGTGAAACCTCCATGTGTTTTTTGTTGTTTTTTTTTTTAGATTTATTTATTTATACAAGCACTGGGTAAGTCAGAAGCGCAGGAGGGTGAGAGAATTCACCAGAGCCAGAGCTGGGAGCGGAACAGGCAGAAGGACTGAAGAACACTGCTGAGGGGAGCAGTGGGTGGCAGGAGAGGTCTGCGCTCCATGTGGGACCCTCGCCCGGCGGCTGGGGATTGAACCGGTGCTGCAGAGGCTGCGGGCAGCTTTGCAACCCAGCGCTCAGCCACTGAAAAACTCCATGTGGTTTTCCCTAATTAGCAGCTGTTCCAATTTACATTTCTAGTAATAGTGGATGATAGTTTCCTTTATACTATATCCCCATCATGTCTCTTTCTAGATATTATAATAGTTGCAATACTTATAGGTGTATGATGATACCTCATTGTGATTTTGATTTCATTTCCCTAATTATAAGGAAAGGTGAACATTTTTTCAAGTGCCAGAAACCACTGGCCTGCAGCCTGGACCCAGCATCATCCCCCTGAGCAGACTGGGCTGGCGTGTGACATGGAGATGTTCCAGTTCACTGTAAAAATAAACACGAGGAGGAGGAGAAGTAGGAGGAAGACTGACAAGATATGAAAGGCTGATGGGGACATACTGCTGTGCTGGTCTAATGACAGGGTCCATGTGCACATGAGGAGGTCAGGATCAGGGGGTAATTCATGCCCTCGTGGCCTTTTGCATGTGGCATGTTAGATGTTATCTGTGAAGAGCTGGAGCGGGGAAGTGGAGGACCATAGCATAAAGTTGCTCAAAGGGAGTGTCAGGAAACTGAAGACAGCATAGTTGCTGAAGAAGATGAAGCTGACAGAAATATAAACCATCTTCCAGCCTATATTTTTCCTAATACAATGAGAACAGGTTCAAAGAGGGAATTTGATGAAATTTTTACAAAGAAAATGAGCGAGTCCTGAGCTGTCCTTCCCTGGCAACTGAGCAATGAACCCCTCTCTCTGAACTCCTTTCTGATGAAATAGGAGAGGCAAACTGAGCTTGCAGCGCTGGCTCTGCCTTCCCTCAGAGAAAGGACCTGTTCTTGGACAGCCTGGACACAGCTGCTTTCACAGAAGAGCTAGAGTTTAGAGACCAGTTTCTGCACTCAAGTTGCCAAATTGTAGGAGATGCTTGTTCAATCATGAGTTACCTTGATTGTATAGGGCTTGTCAGTTTTAGGAACAGGGGATAATGATCTCTCCACCTGTGAGTTAGAGTGGAGAGTCTCATTTCTTGAATTCAACTTTTGCAATGCACACTGAAAGGGAATTGACTGAAGGGAAAAGTATTCGTTTTCTAGGGGACTTATTAAATCAAAGAGTGAGACTGTGTGTGCAATACCAAGTATAGAAGCTTTATGGGTGTGGGTGATTCAGGCAGCTGTCACCAACCTTATCCATGCAGATCCTTGGACAATGTGGAGACACTTGTGTTACAAAAGATGTATTTAGGAAGAAAGATGTTCCCCCTGTGACACTCCCCTGACACTTGAGTGACAGCTTCCTCTGTAGATGTGGACTCTGTGCCCAGCGTAACTACATATGTTGAGGTGCGGGGGGTGAGAGCAGTAGCTTATGCCTATTGCTGAGAAAGTTAACAGTGACTGGATCTTGTCCATCAGTCGTCCATTCGTTGTCGTTATAAACCTGCCAGAGAACTGGGGCTCAGCCTCTGCCTCTGAAAAATAAAATGAAAGTACAAAGGAAATGCATTAGTTTTAAAGCACTTTTTGGTGTGTGCTATTATTGCTCCTCTGTTTCCTTCACATCAATGATTAACCCAGTTATTCAATAATGTTTGCCACTGATTTTAATGGACACTTTAAAAGATTGCGGATATCTGGTGTGCAAAGGGCGGTGGGGGGAGCATCCCGTTCCTTAGGTGGCAGAGGAGGCTCCTCAGCAGGTAACACCACACTGGTAACTACCAGAGTGAGAAAGGCTGTACCTGATTAGTACCTTGAGTTTGTGAAGTGAATTTAGAAAGCAGTGACTGAATAGTGAACCGAGAAATAGGGGCAAAGGACATTTACTGAAATCACTGATTTGCCAGGTGCTTCAACTACTGTGGGGTGAGCCTGGAAGTCAGTGGACGACAGTGTCCGCTACAGGGGATCCCTACTTGGAGGACCTAACCAGGCTCACGGTGTCTTTTGGGATGACCAGGGTTGAAATTTTTATTTCTCCAGGAGAAATTCCTTGTGGGAAGGACTCACAGTGCAAGGTAAAATGACAGTTCCTCTAGTGCCACCGCCCACCCACTGTCACTGATGAGGCCAGTTGGGTAGTGTAGGACAGGCCCTTCCCTCACACAGCAGGGGTCCCGCCCTTGGCTTTTTGGTTCCTTTCCTGGGCTTCTCCCACTTTGTGGGATCAGATAGCCTGTATAGAAAAAGGATGGATGACCCCAGGTAGAGGTAACGTTTTGGAAACCAGCTCTCAGGCATTTCTGAAACCACGAGGAAATCCGCCCCTTCAACAGTTGCCGGGGAGGTCGGAGGATGTTGCTTGGGCTGTTTCTCCTCTTGCCTGTTGTTCCCACTTTCTCGATTTTCCTGTGGACAGTCAGGAAAACATTCAATGTTTGATATTTAAATAAAATCTTTTGTGTATATAATGCAAAATTATTCGACCTTTAATCCGGATTTAGTTGTAAACGAGCTAACAGTTTGCTAATATCACATTTAGAGAGGGTATGGATGTCCATAGAGATTTACAAAGACTGCTTGAACGAATTGCTGTCCCTCCTCACTTCAGGATTGGCATTTTGTTCCTGGAAATGCTTACTGCTTCCTTCTGATTAATTCACAGAAGTCACAAGTTCACTATATTTCGTGGGAATCAGGAAAACCCACAAGTTGTCCATGACCTTGATCTTGTTTGCTCTTCGGAGCATTAAATGTCTGAAGCATCGTGGTGGGTAGGTGTTGATCACTAAATATTTTTGAATTAAAACAAATAAGTCTATGAATAAAAATAGTAAATATAAACAATTATCTCCTTTCCTTAGCCCATGGTTAATACATGTATGTTTCTTTTTCACTTGGACCGTGAAATCCATTCAAATTCTCAACCAGAAACAGGTCACCCTGACACATCCACCCACATGGCGTCTGAGCAGTGCCTGTTCCTGTGTGTGCCTACAGCGGAGATTTTCATTCTTTCTTTTCTCTCCATCTCCTCTCTAACTCACATAGACCTGCCCCCCTCTTCTCTGTGCTCCCCACCCACACTCCAGATTGAAAACAGCAGACCCCAGTCTGTCCTTCTTGCTCATGTTATTAACAGTGCAGCTGATAGTGAGTGGATGCCAAGTGGGTGTGTCATCCTCACAGTCAGTGACGCTGCACCCTTGTTAGGGTGACTTAACACAACAATCTTCACCTTCCTCCACCACGGAGGTGCCACCCAGCTCCAAAAAGAGCAGTATCATTTTTATTTAGGATTAAGCAGAAGATAAAAAAAAAAATCAAAGAAGCAAGGAGGCAATTGGGCAATGCCTAAGTGTGGGGAACTGGCAACCCCTTGGCCCCAGCCAAGCCTGGGAAATCAGGGAGAGAGTCAACGAAGTCTCAGCATTTTGCTACTCTCAGCATAACATCTACTGCTGTTTTCAGCACATGCTGTTTTCAGCATGTGTAGCTCCTCATACCAGGACTTTTGCCCTGAGAAGTTCTTTATCTCAAACTTTTGCGGGCCTCCTCTGGTGGCATAGGCAGTTGAGCACAGTGCTGTGAAGCTGACCGCAGCTTCTGCAGTGCCTGTTCTATCCTGGCCAGCCGGCGAGGGTCCCACATTACGTGGCAGACCTCTCCTGTTGAGCCCGCTGCGCCCCACAGCAGTGTATTTCGTCAGTCTACCTGTTCTGTTCCCCGCTCTGTCTCTAGTGAATCCTCTTACCCTCCCGCACATTCTGGCCTGTACCCTGGTTCTTGTATAAATATATCCTTAAAAAAAAATTTTTTTTTTTTTGCTTTTCACATTCTGGGTGAAAGGCACAGAATAGTCAAGGCATAGAACAATCCAAGCTCCCTCAAGGTGAAGGGAGTGTCACACTCTGGTACACGGGTCCCTTGAAACAGGTGACAGTGCACAATGCATTAGATCAGACAGGCAATGGGAGGGGCTGTTTGAGGAGCTCAGGGCCTCTGTGCTGCTGCCACTGATTGGCCCACCGGGAACCTTCTCAGGAGATTTTCTCCTGTTTCCCTTTCCTTATTGGTCTGTCTGTCTGCCTGTCTGTCTATCTGCCTACCCATCTCTCATCTTTGATTTATTTATCATGTGTGTGTGCTTCTGTAGGGATTTTCAGTGGAGCAGCTTTGGGGGCCTGTGTGCTGTAGCATTTCATACCAGCAATGATCCCGCTGTTGCTTTAAACTTGGTAACATCCTCACTTTGTCCTTACTTTTTCTCTGTCGCATAAATACTTTCTATGGTCATTTTTTTCCCCATGGCTTGTGTTCTGCCACAGATCATGAAAACGTAAAGATGTTAATCCTACAAATTTTGTGGCTTTGTCTAACATAGTACATTTGGAGTAAGTATATATTCATGCGTACAGATACAGAGACATGTGTATATAAAATGCATATGTGTATGAATATATATATATGCACATATGTAATTATTTTACCCACCCATCATCCAGCACAATAATACAGTGAGGACATTTTGTGTGTGTTTTTTTTTTAAACATTTATTTATTTTTATTATTTATACAAGCACTGGGTACAGTCAGAAGCACAGGAGGGTGAGAGAATTCACCAGAGCCAGAGCAGGGAGCAGAGCAGGCAGAAGGACCCAAGTACACTGCTGAGGGGAGCAGTGGGTGGCAGGAGAGGTCTGCGCACCATGTGGGACCCTCCTCCAGTGGCCGGGGAGCAGCCGGGGATCGAACCGGCGCTGCAGAGGCTGCAGGCAGCTTAGCAACTCAGCGCTCAACCGCTGTGCCACGGGGGAGGCCCTGTTGTTGTTGTTTTTATTAAGTTCTCAGTGCATTGTCAGTCTTTTGCCTACAGTGAGAGAGAAAATCATCAGTGAATTCTTCATTATGGAGAGGTCAGTTAGTACCTAGACTTGGGAAAGTGAGTATAGGAACGTAGGAAAGATACAGATATGATGAGAGATGAATTTCAATAATGTGATAAATCTTAAGAAAAAGAAACAAAACTTTTGAAATTGGATTTCTAATATTTTATGCTTTCCAAACAAACTCATGTGTAAAAGACAAATATTTATGGTGCAGAACATGAGGATTTAATACACATACACATGGTAGAAAAAATTACCACAATCCAGTTAATTAACATGCTTACTTTTATATATGTGAGTATATATATATATATATATATATATATATATAATTTTTTCTCCTTTGGTAAGTACACAGCAGATATTATCGTAGCAAGTTTAATGTGCTCAATAAAGTACTATGACGGTAGGCAGCAAGCTTGATATTAGATCCCAGGAATCCTTCATCCTATAATGAAAATGTGTATCCTTGGCTGCTGCCCAGGAACAGACTGAAAAGGCTTTGTCCTGGGAGCATCAGGGGAGTGGAAGTGGCTGGCTGTGGTGGGATGGATTTCAAATAAAAAGGACCAAAACTCATGCCATTTGCTGCAACATGGATGGAGCTGGAAGGGATAATGCTCAGTGAAATCAGTCAGAAGGAAAATGAAACAATTCGCATATCTTCACTTATAGGACTAATACAGGGAAATCGAACAAGGGATCAGAAAAAAAAGACAAAGCTTGCAGGTAAACTAGAAATGGGACATAACTCGGGGAAAGAGGGAGAGAGAGGGGTCAAAAAAGCGGAGGAAGAGCACAAGAGGCTATGGGGATGTTCAGGGGTGACTCGGTGCTGGGAATTTTATGGGGATTATACCTGAGGGGAGAAATCAAACATTGTACAAAAGTGAACAAATATGTAAACATATATACATATACACACACACATACATATATATATAAATAAAAACAGGCCAGTGCAGACTCCCCCCTCCTTAGCCTTTTGGCTACCTTGCACTGTCACTCTTGCCAGAACAGGGGTCCAGGTTGCTTCCTGCCCTCAGCTTGTTTCCACAGAGACTCTGATTGGTGACAAGAATTGATATTTGAAACCAAGTATTTGCTGTAAATGACATGAGGGTGTAAACACACCATTAATAGAGATGAGCAGGTGGAACAGACTGTGGGGTGAGCTCACTCTGGAAGTGGGCACAGATGAGCTTTTTAGTCACTTTTCTTTTCCTTTCAATCTAATCTATCACCACATGTCTCATTAGGTAACTGTATAGTTCATTCTTTTTTAGCTCTGAAAATATCCCCTGGTACACAAACACTACCTGGTGAAGGCCATCAAAGTTGATTCCATTTTTCATAGTTAGATGCACAGCTCTAGTGAGCATCATGCCCAGATTTTTGTTTGTTTTCAGTTGTTGATGATGATGAAAAAGTTGTTATAAAGTCATCTGGAGGTTTTTCTGTGGACAAAATACTTAGATTCATTTTATGATTGTATAACCTTAAACTGATACATTTTCATGAAAAATCATAGAATAAGAAAAACTACTCAGCACTGATTCAAGTTAGATAAATAGGATGGCAGCTGCAGCAGGGCTGACTTTTCCTATCAGCAGAGCATGGAGGGTGTGAGATCCAGTGATGCATTCAAGGGCACAGAAAATGAATTCGTAATATTTTGGAATGGGAAAAAAGGAATATAAAGCAGTCTGAATGTAACCAGCCCTAACTGAGGAGATCAAGACACTATGTTTCTATGGATACCCCTCACCTAGAGATGTGCTGCTGGGAGTGACTCTGAGGACAGAGGGAGGGAGGGGCCTGCTCCCAGGGGTGCCCTGGAGGAGTCTGGGCCAGGACAGCAGCAGAGAAGAAGCAGAGCCCCAGGCTGAGCCTCAGCAGCAGCTGCCAGGGGTGCCTGCTCTTGGCAGAAGAGAAAGGGGGTTTGTGTCTCACTTCCCCACAGGCCTGGAGCACTGTGGGACCACTCAGACTATCATCCCAACATTTTTTTTTTTTTTAAAGTACATTTTCTTTTATTGACATAGAACATTTGATTAAATTTTAAATATTGAGTCTTTAAGAAAAAGTTTCTCCTGGTAAATAATTATGCATAACCATTGCCCCAAACTGTACACAGCTGTTTTCCCCAAAATATTTATACACATAGTGGTCCACTTAAGACCAGCCCCATTACAATCTAATGAATTCAATGTGCTCTTAATTTATAAATGGGCTATCCTCGGTAAAAAAAATGCATAGGTGTGTATGTTATACATACAAAGTAAGAAATATAAAAAGGAGAGATGAAAAGAAAAAAAAGAGCAAGTGTTTCTCCCTGTAAGATGCAGACAGAAATTCACCGACATCCCAACTTGAGCAGTAATAATCAGCCTCGTCCTCAGGCTCGAGCCCAGTGATGGTCAGGGTGGCTGAGCTGCCAGACCTGGAGCCGGAAAATCGATCAGGGACCCCTGAGGGTCGATTGCTGCTACCATATATCAGGAGTTTGGGGGCTGTTCCTGAGAGCTGTTGGTACCAGTGCACAATATAACCATCCCCGATGTTGGAGCTGCTTCCCATGCAGGAGATGGTGACCCTCTGGCCCAGGTTGCCAGATACTGATTATGACTGAGTCAGCACAGACTGGGCCCAGGATCCTGGAAGGAGAGACACGGAGATGATTTTTCTGGGGTCTCAAGGGAAAGACAGGAGGCAGGACCCCATGTATCTTCCCAAGCCTCCCTCCATGCTCCCTATAGCCAATTACCTGTGCAGTTAGAGAGGAGCATGAGGAGCAGAGGGGACCAGGCCATGGTGCTCACAGCCCTGCTGAGCCTATAGTTGCCCAGGTCAGGTCCAGGCCCCCTTTTCTTCTCCATCCTCTGCCACAGGAAGGGCTGTGCATGCAAATGGGTTCTCACCAGGGGCTGCCCAGCCCCTCCCTCAGCATTGTGGCTGGAGCTCAGCTCACACACAGCACTGAAGAGGAGTAGGCTATGCTTCCCACTCTGGGACAGGCCTGTGAGGAAGCACCTGCTGACCTCACCTTGAAGTTCCTGCTCAGAGAATGTGACAGGCAGAGAGGTTACAGCTGGTGAGCCCTCATCTGGGGAGCCTAGAGCCCAGCTCCCAGGCCTAGGCACCTCTGTAAAAATATCCTCATGATCAGCTGTTGAGGGCCCACAGACAGTCCCACAGTGCTCCCTGCTGGTCACAGGGCATATTCACCAGGAGTAACAGCCCCAGGAGCCCAGCTGCTGTCTGCACATCACCAGTCCCTGAGTCTAGGCACACACCCAGAGTTTGACTCCTAGACCCTTAGTGCTGACAGGGTCACTGAGGCATCTCTACTCTCATGGAGTCCTGGTGTAGGAAGACACAGCATGTATGTATATAACTGCTTAAATCTGGTTTGCCCAGAGCAGATACTGCAAAATCCTATTTCCCCATCAGTCTGCAATTTAGAACCTGGAGCATTTTCATTATCCCACACTCATGTGTATGAAAGTAATGGATTCAAACTACGCTCCGTAAGTTAATTTGCAATGAAATTAAGTATTTTTGAGTCATTAAATTGTCTGACTATTTCACAAAGTGAAGGAAAAACAACAAATTTATTTTTGATGATGCACAATTTTTTTATTTATTTTTATACAAGAGCCGGGGTATAGGACAGATGCACGGGAGGGTGAGAGGATTCACCAGAGACAGAGTGGGGAGCAGAACAGGCAGACCACAGAAATACACTGCTGAGGGGAGCAGTGGGCGTGACAGGAGAGGTCTGATGATGCACAATTTTTTAAAGACTGTTGTTGGTGTCTTGTCTAAAAACGTTTACTAAAATGTTTACAAATATTTTTACCTATTTTTTTCAAAAATGTTATGTTTTACCTAATTCTTTGATATACTTAATTGAACATCTCATTAGGTGTGAGATGTAGTTGATATCCATTGACCCGGATGCATGTCTGTCACCTTTATTCAGAAGACTGTCCTTCCCAGGAGGCTGTTGCAACTTTGTTAACAACTGTACCCAATTTTGTGGGTCTTTTTCTGCATTCTCTGATGTGTCACACTGACCTATTTGTTTATCCCTTTATCCAAACCAGTCTGTCGTGTTCAGATAGAAATCATTCAAAGTATATGATTGGGCGAGAACTGGCATCTTTACTACACCGAGTCTTCTCTCCACGAGCAGGACAGGTCTCCACTGATGTCCATCACTTGGTATCTTTTACCTCCATGTAGTGCAACCATCCCAAACGGGGTAGGTTCATCACCGTTTCAAGCATCCATGTTGGCGTTCTAGACATTTTCATATTCTCCGCAGAATATCTCCGCAGAATGCCCCCGCACTCCACCACACTCCACCGCACTCCTCTGTGTTTGGCACCACACCACATCACACTGTCCTCTGCCCCTTGGCCGAGTGGGCATGCGTGGTGGGAGGGCAGGAATGCCTGATGCCTTTCCCTTTTACTTACCCCACACTCCACCATCCAGCTTCCACCACACGTCAGCTGTACATACTCTGATAAATATGCTCATAAATATTTTCGTTAGACAGATTTCAACTATTATTGTAATTCAGTTTTTGTTGTGTGGGTGAAAGATTCACAGAGACAGGGTGGAGGATAGAAAAGGCAGCTGTATTGAATACCCTGTATGGAGTAGGGGGCATTAGGAGACAGCTCCCCTGTAAGAAGAGGGGTGAGTGAAACACCCCTTATACTCTGAAATTGTGGGGTTTCTTTTAGGGCACCTGCCTTCACTGGCTTTTATCTATAGTGAATCCAGACTTTGCTTTGCTTTAGAATTTGCATCAGCCTTTAATGGCCACAGGTGTGCTTCCTGGCCCTGTTTCAGTAACCACCATTTGCTACCCTCCTGTGCTGGAGGTTACCTGATTCCCATGGTAACCCTCAGCTTCCCTTTTCTGTTTTAATCTCTCATCCTTGTCAGCTGGCAAGGAGCAGGATCTCTCAAGACTACAAACCCCAAGAGTTCTCTTATTCTTTGCTAGTATACACACACCTAACTGATCTCCCTAATGCTCATGTATCATATAACCTTGAAATCACTTCTGACTATTGGAATTCACATATGTATTTGAAGCTTCCTTTTTTTTCCGAATTTTTTTCTTCTTTTAAATTTTTTTTTTAAAGATTTATTTATTTTTGGAAGAACTGTGGTACAGGTCAGAGGTGCGGGAGGGTGAGAGAATTCACCAGAGAGAGTGGGGAGCAGGACTGGCAGACGGACCAAAGACACTGCTGAGGGGAGAAGCGGGTGAGACAGGAGAGGTCTGCCACACCATGTGGGTTTCTCCCTGGCCGGCTGGGAATCGAACCCACGCTGCAGAGGCTGCGGACAGCTTCACAGTGCAGCGCTCAAACTGCTGCGCCACCAGGGAGGCCCTGCAGCTTCCTTTGTATAGTCTATGTGTTGCATCATCTCATCTGGAATGATAGCATAATTATTTCTCATTCTGTTGAGTCTGTGTCCTTCATAATTTCTCTGTCCTTGAATGTTCACAAAAATGCACCCCAGTTCTAGCCTGTTTATTTGGTTGCTCACATTGTTTCAGTTTCACCCTTTAGGTGGGTTCAGGTGCTCGGTGACACCCCCTGTCCTGTATCATGTGTGTTTGAGCTGACACTATATGTGCTGGTGTGTGTTTTGCTCTGAGATAAATGTTTGAAAAGCTACTTTCTGTCAAAGCAAGATGTCCCATGCTCATATTAAATGATTCTGTAAACTGGGATTGAAAATTTCTTCACACAAACCTGCCCCTTGTTTATTAGAGAAAGGTATTGAAATCAATTGTCTGGCAAAAGTCACACTCCTTGCTATTGGGGTGTCATTATTGTAAGCCCTTCTCCTCTCACAGAATAGGCAACACATACACAGAGATGAGTGAGCTAACCCGGGGGAACATGTGCCAGTGTTTGTCTCCCTGAAGCCAGCACGAGCTCCCATGACGTCTCCCAACCTCGTCCATTACCACGTGGTCACTCGGCCTCCTCCCCTTGGTTACACACGTGCATTTCCTCTCCAAAGTGAGAAAACTGCTTCCAACATCGCTCCTCCCATCACATTCTGGGTTGTTTATCCAGGACCCAGCAGGTCTCCCCACCACCAATCACTGAACAGGGCCTGTGGTGAAGTAGACCAGGACTTGAGCACAATGGCTGCAGACTCCTACTCTCCCATATTGTATTTCTGAAACACAGTCATGCACATTTCAGAACAAAGTGGCTCACTAGATTGATTCTAACCCTATTAGTTTATGTCCCTCAGGGGAGCCACTGCTTGTGTAACTCTCCTATCTTATCGAACAGACCTGGAGAGGCTGTGTTTGGGGCCAACAAATTAGCCAAATCTTATTACCCCTCCCTGTAAATCCCTGCCCTTTCCTTAAGCAAAAGTTGTCAAACCCATTCAGGATCCCATCTGTGAGCGCCTGCCCCTCTAACTAAACACGTGTTTCCATCAGCAGCCTTAAGACCCAGGGGCTAGTCCTTGAATGTGCCCCCTTCACCCTCAAGCATGCACTTTCCCCACAATAAAGCTTCATTCCCTGCTCGCCCACACTGACTCCCGCAGGAATTCCTTCCTGTGTAGAAATCAAGAACCTCGGGGTCCATGAGCACCCTGGGCCTCATCAGGGGGATCCCATTCATGACAGAGCCCAGGGCTCAGGGGCAGTGTCTTTGGCCTTCACCCCTATGGCCTCTCCTCATTCTCAGAGTGACTTATGGGAGCAGCTTCTCCCCCAACTCCCAGAGGAAGGCGGGTTTCTGCTTCTGTAGAACAGGTGGATGGGTCCCCCCATCTGCCTCCTGTCATGGGGTCACCACCCCTCAGTGATGTTTCTACACAGCCTGGAGCTTCTGTGTGGTGCTGCGAGATTTTAGTGAATTTGACATTGTCTTAGTGTCTCTTATGCATCATTACAGAACCATAGAATAACTCCATGGCTCTAAGACTAATATTCAGCATTCACATATGTAATTTTCCTTCTGTTTCTTTTATATTCCTGAAACTACAGATAATTTTACACTCTCCAATTATTTGCATCTTCTAAGATAAGATACATCATGCAGTTTGGGAATTTTCTCTCATATATTTTTTAAGATTTATTTATTTATTTATACAAGCACTGGGTACAGTCAGAAGTGCAGGAGGGTGAGAGAATTCACCAGAGCCAGAGCGGGGAGCAGAGCAGGCAGAAGGACCGAAGTACACTGCCGAGGGGAGCAGCAGGCGGCAGGAGAGGTCTGTGCACCATGTGGGACCCTCACCTGGTGACCGGGGAGCAGCCAGGGATCGAACCAGTGCTACAGAGGCTGTGGGCAGCTTCGCAACCCAGCGCTCAACCGCTGCACCACCGGGGAGGCCCTTCTCTCATATTCTTCTCTGTAATAATATAAAGACACACACACATCTATTGTATCATTTGTGACTACATTGTTCATATATATTAACTTTGAACAATATCCCATGTTATAAAAATGCTACATTTTTAAGGATAATAATATCTGTGTGCAGATATTTGTTTGTGTTCAGCTTTGTGATTGTGAAAACTTGGTTATAAAATCACTTGCAGGTTTTTATGTGGACAAGGGTTTTTGGACTTATTTTCATAATTGTATAATTTTACTTTGAGATTCCTTTCATTAAAAATAAAAATGGAGGGCCTCCCTGGTGACGCAAGGGTTTAAGCACAGCACTGTGAAGCTATCCCAGTCTTTGCAACAGGAGTTGGCCTCCTACCACCCACAGAGCTACCCACATGGCACAGCAGACCTCTCCTGTCTCTCCTGCTGCTCCCCTTAGTAGTGTATTACAGTGGATCTACCTGTTGTGCTTCCCACTCTGTCTCTGGTGAATCTTCTCACCCCTGCACCTCTGGCCCTTACCCCAGTTCTTATATGCATAAATAAATCTTTACTTTTTTAATATTTTTAAAGATTTATTTATTTATTTATATAAAAATCCGGGTACAGGCCAGATGCGTGGGAGGGGGAGAGGATTCACCAGAGACAGAGCGGGGAGCAGAACAGGCAGACTGACGAAATACATTGCTGAGGGGAGCAGCGGGTGCGGCAGGAGAGGTCTGCTGCACCATGCAGGATCCTCCCTGGCCGGCCAGGATAGAACTGGCGCTGCAGAGGCTGCAGACAGCTTCACAGTGCAGTGTTCAACCGTGTGCCCCACCAGGGGAGGCCCCATAAATAAATCTTTAAAAAAAAATCAAGATGGAAACAAAAAGCAATCCATGGAAATTATTATTAGATAAATAAGAACATCAGGTACAGCAGGGCTGACTGATCCTTTGAGCACAGCATGGAGGGTGTGGGGTTCTAGGTACACTGGGCAGCAAAGAAAATGATTCCTGGCTTTTAATTTAGTGGGAAAGAATATATATACATGAGTCTGAAAGTAACCAGTCCCAACCTGATGAGGACAAGGACTTCCTGTTTCCATGGAGACCCTTGAAAACTGTGCCCAGGCTGGGCACAGGTCACTGCTGGTGACTTCTCACCCATGAGCACACAATTGTAAGAAACAACTCAGGATCACCATGCACTAAGACTTCAAATGACCTGTTGTCCTACCCCAGATCGTGACTGCAGTGTCCAGTCATCCAAAACAAAGGCTACTCGTACCAGATGGCCCTGTCCTTTGGAGGAGACCCAGGAGCTGTTAGGTGGTGGATCATAGTCCAACTCTGATGGCAGGAAGAGGTGATCACAGGGGGACTGCTGGGGTGACACCACAGCAGCCAACAGCTCCAGTCTGAAGGCTGCTGGGCAGCACCAGATGCCGGACTACACAGCACTGGTGTTGGAGCACAAGGAGGCAGTGGAGGAGAGAAGTGGTGCAGGCTCTCAGAGGTGGCTGGATGCAACTCAGAGTGCTGATCACTGGCCATAATGCTGGCCAGATCTGGTCCACAAGTAATGGCACTAGAGAATGGCACCAGTGTTACAGCTCTTACAGGTGCCATTGCACCAACAGCAGTTGTATTAGAGACATCAAGGACAGGCCAGTGGTACTCTCTGAAGGCAATATTAGAGGCAGGACTGGAGGCATCTGCAGCCTCAGGGAGATCAGATACAAAGGTCTGGGAAGGTCCCAGGGAAGGTCTGTGATGGTCTGTGTCATAATCAATCTTCCTGATAAACCTGTCTGTGAAGGTCTTTCCAGGATTCCTGAGACATCTGATCTGAAGCCATCTTGTGAATGGGCCTAATCTGGCTGCTGCCATTGCTTACATCCACCACAGGATCCCTGCTTTTCAAGACTAATTGGTCCATTTACAATTCCAGCTGTTTGATTGTTGCTCACTGAGCTCAAACATGATTTTTCCCTTTAATTACTGGGGTGATTCAAATGCAAAAAGCTGCCACAATGCCAAAGGAGACCTAGGCTGAGGTTGGGTGGTCTTGGGCAGCAGTGGGTCCTTCAGTCGGGTGGGATGGAGTCACGCAGAGAGCCCAGATGCTCACTGAGTCCACCTTGCTTGAGCGGGACCAGACCTCCCCTGAGTATCCAGGGCAGCTGCAGCACAGTCCAAACCCAAAGGGCAGGTGTGAAGGTTTGAGGACTTGTAGTGCCACCAAGGCTTGTGCAGTGGATCAAGGCAAGCAACACTGCTGTTGGAGCCCACAGGCTGCTTGCTCAGGCTGGCCCTAAGACAAGGCAGCTGAGGCAATCCTGACTTGAACAGGTCACACCATATGACAGGTTAACCTAGGGATGTGCTTCTGCGAGTGACTCTGAGGACAGAGGGAGGGAGGGACTGCCACTCAGGGGGAGCCCTGGAGGAGCCTGGGCCAGGACAACAGCAGAGAAGAAGCAGAGCCCCAGGTTGAGCCTCAGCAGCTGCTGCCAGGGGTGCCTGATCTTGGCAGAAGAGAAAGGGAGTTTGTGTCTCACTTCCCCACAGGCCTGGAGCACTGTGGGACCACTCAGACTGTCATCCCAACTTGTGCAGTAATAATCAGCCTTGTCCTCAGGCTGGAGACCAGGGTGGCTGAGCTGCCAGACTGGGATCCCAAGAATCGATCAGGGATCCCTAAGGGTGGATTGTTATAACCATAAATCAGGAGTTTGTGGGCTGTCCCTGTGAGCTGTTGGTACCAGTACACACAATAATTCCCAATGTTGGGGCTGCTTCCCATGCAGTAGATGGTGACCCTTGGCCCAGGTTCCCAGAGACTGACTGTGGCTGAGTCAGCGCAGACTGGGCCCAGGATCCTGGAAGGGAGAGAGAGCAGGAGATGACGATGCTGGGCACAAGAGGATTTATCAGGGCCCCATGTAGCTCTGTCCCCAAATTGAGTTACCTGTGCAAAACGAGAGAAGCACTGAGAGGTGAGGCATCCAGGCCATGGTGCTCACAGCCCCGAGGTCCACGTGGGTCTGGGCTGCCCCAGGCCTCCTTTTCTTCCCCACCCTCTGCCTCAGGAGGGGCTGTGAATGCAAATGGCTCATCCAGGGACTTCCCTGTCCATCCCTGAGCCCGGGTAGTGGGACTCAGCTCACACCCCACATTGAGCAGGAGAGAGGTTGGCTTCACTGCTAGGGAAAACGGTGGCAGGAAGCACCTGCTGGCACCACACACAGGTCTCGGCTCAAGGGATGGTGCCCACCCATGAGGACGCAGCTGCTGAGTGCCCACCACGGATTCAAGGCTCAGCTCCCAGTGCTAGTCATTTCTGCATAAATGATCCTTACTGTAGTGTGCGCAGGACTCACAGGACCGCCCCAAAGCGCCCCCTGCTGGTAACAGGGCACACACGCACCAAGACCCAAAGCCCTGGGAGCCCAGCTGGGGTCTGCACTTCACAAGGTCACAGTGTAGGTCACACCTCTGGGTCTGACTCACAGGCTCTGAGACCCGTCATGCTGCACAGGGTCACTGAGGCTTCTCCACTCTCAGTGGCGACCTGGTGGACGAGATGCCGCATGGACATAAATAACCGCTTATTTTTTATGACCCGAGAAGTTACTGCGTGCATCATATTCTTCCACTGGTAGACAATTTTGAATTTGGGTGCATTTTCAGTTTCCCAAAATCATATGTTTTAAAGCAATGCACTGCAACTACTCTCCTGTACATTAGTTTGCACCTATCTTTACCTTCTATGTTTAGGGAATTTAATCATTTTACTAATTCACAAAGTGAAGGAAGAACAATGAATTATTACTGATGTCCAAATTATTTTGGGATGGATTATGCTTTTGGGGTCTTATAAAAAAATTTTGCAAAACATGTTACAGATATTTCCACCCATGTTTTCTTCATTTTTCTTTTATTTTGTAGTTAATTCTTTCAACTGTTTGTGTGATTTTTTTCTGAGGCAAGAGATTTAAGTCATTCATTGACCCCAGTGGATGTGCAACTGTCTATATCACCTTTTGTGGAAAAGACTGTCCTTGTCTGAAAGGCTTTTACATATTTGCAACAATGATCCCTACATTACTGGGTCTATTTCTGGATTTTCTATTCTGTTACAATGACATATGTGTCTATCCCTGATCTAAACTCTCTATCTTGTTTCCATAGAAATAGAAACAAACTTTAAGTCAATTTAAAAATAACTGATACCTTTTCCAAGGCGAGTCTTCTCTCTATGGTCAGGACACGTCTCCACTGACGTCAATCCCTCAGATGACTTGTACCTCTGCTGCCCAGTTTTCTGCATGTATATTTTTTATATCATTTGATAAATGTACACCCAAATATTTCAATTTGACAGATTTTAGCTAGCATTGCCAGTTAGTTTTCACCCATTGTTTCTAAAAAATGCACCTAAATAATATTTTTATTGTCTGGCATTATAGAGACTTCTGGGAATTATGACTTTTGGCATTTATATACATGCATAAATTTTTAGCAGCTTTTGTATATTCTATGCTTTGAATCACCTCCTCTGTACTAAAGGGAACAAATGCATCCTGTTCTTTTGAGTCTGTGGCCTTCATGGTTTTTCTTGCCTGTGGTCCTGCAGGATAGTCCAGAACATGTTAAAGGGCAGTGGTGACCGTGGACGTGCTCGCCTCGTGCAGCTCTAGGGGGAACGTCTTCAGGGTTTCACCTTAGGTGTGACCTGAGCTGCAGGGGCCCCCTAGTTTCCTTTAACAACTGAGGATGCTGCCCTGCTGCCTCCTTCTCTGGGTTGTTCTCATGAATGGGGTTGACTTTTATAAATGTCTTTTCCATCTTGATTGATTGATAATATCATGTGATTTTTCCTGCTTAAGCCTGCTCATCATGTAGATTACATGGATCATTTTTTTAAAAAACTTGAGTATTGAGGTAAAAGAAATGCATGCAAATTTAGAAATATAATTAGACGAATGCTTGGTGTGTTGGCCTCCTAGAGATGCTTTAGCAATTAGTGCACCACACTGGGTAATCTAGAAAGTATAAACTTTGTCTGATAATTCTGGAGTCTAGAAATCCCAAACTCTGATTGCCAGGTCTTGTTACCTCTGAATTGTGGAGTGGAATCTTTCTTGCCTCTTCAGAGTTATTGGTGATTTGTATGAAATCTTTGGATTTTCTTTACCTTCAGATGAGTAGTTATAATTTCTGCCTCCAAGGGATGTCCTTGGAGGTCATATTATATTAGGAGGCCACCCTACTACATAAGACTTCATCTTAAAAATAAAATTTAAAATAAAATCATATTTTGAACTTTTTGTTATTACATCTCAACATATCTTCTTAGGGTAAGCAATTTAACCGCAACATTTGGGAAGAAGAACCTTCCCAAGACATTGTACTTTAAAATGCAACACAGCTGGAATGCATAACAATGCTTTCTTATTAAATAAAATTTAGTAATACAGAAAAGGAAGACTTTTTGTTTTGTTTTGTTGATTTTGTCAACTCCTGAGTGACCAAGAAAATCACTGGAGATGATTCGACTGGAGAATATGTTTTTGACTTCAGGCCTTAGATCTGACCCAGAAGGAACTCTTCTTCCTGGAATATGGAATTGGAATTGAATTTTCTGGACAAGATTCTTCTAAGTGATTCACAATATTCCTACACAGTTGGCCTCAACAGGAATGGAAATCAATTCAGATCTATTCCTGCACATTTCTCTCTGTGGATCGTGAGCATTCAGGCTGCCAGGGAGTTCAGATGTCTGGTGTGTCATCCTGATGTCAAGAGATCATATTTGTACCCGGTCTCGTCAAGCACAGGTTTGTGTCCCGGCTCCCCATCCTGGCCTCTCACTGTGTTGTACCCACTGTGGCTGCAGTTCTTGGCCTACCTTGAGCTGGGTCCCTGACAGAGTGAGGGCGACTTTGGCCCAAAGGATGGACCTCAGAACTGGGCCCCATCAGGGGTGTTTATTCTCTTTCCCTCACATCACTGTCCTGAGGGCCTGAACAGGCTTCTCCTGGAAGCAGTATGCATGGAGACCATTGGTGACCTCTCCAGTGCTAGAACTAGAGAGGAAAGTGATGTCCCTCTTGGAGACATGGTCAGTGAGGGCTCCTGGGTCACCACTGCCTGACACCTGGACCCTGAAAAGAAGATCAACACACCAGAAAGAAGAGAAAAGACAAGTGATTCCCTGAAAGGCAGGGCTATGAAACCACATGAACCTGGGCAGTGAACAAGGAGGGGGAACAGGAAGAGAGGCACCCAGTGAATGGTGAAGACTTTCCAAAGTTCCCCTGAACTCACAGCTGGTGCTGGTGTCT